TCCTCCATGTACAGGTTTGCAACAATAGGAGAAACTGGGGATCCCATGGCACACCCATGTTTCAGTCATTAGGCAGTATCAGGCAGTATCACTCCACCCCCTGTTAACAATAGGTGTTAATTAGGTGTCAACGATAGCCATGTGATGTGAGTAGCAGTCACATGGAGGCAGGGCTTAAAAAGTCTGAAGAAGTCTCTTGGAGGAGAGACGAAACGTTTCATTAGAGAAGAACCCGTCCAGAAGACCTGTACAATTTTTTCTTTTTGATTTTTTACCTGGATTATGAGATGCATCAGGACATTAATAATAACAAATTCCTCATCGTGGCTCATTTGGCCGTACAGGTCACATATCTTGATCAATCAGTTAGCACTTTGTGTACGTGCTGGATATGACCCATACCACACCAAACTCTAGCTCGTTATCTGCACAATGGGTTGAGTTCTGTGCATTTGTGTCCACTCAAGCAAAAACCTTATTACCCTTCTGCCTTTCAGCAGTGGCCGATGAATTTATCTGAGCCTAAAGAGACCCTTTCTTTAACAAATGAGTCTTGTGAGCTCCACAGCCTTGCCTCATATCTCTAAAACCCTCCAGGAATGTTGACTTTCAGGTGTCTCTTAAGTCCTCTTCGATTGTAACGCTGATAAGCAGCGACAGATCTGAACACACCTTTCTGTCACGGAGCGCCTTCCACAAAGCTGCCCTGTTAATAAAGCTTTTTCTGCGAGACAAACTGTTACACGCCGCTCACCATTTAGTGCACAATTCATCCCTCTTGCCGAACAGCTCCCAAACAAACCAAATTCCTCGTTTCCCCAACTATGAGCTAAAAGGCAATTAGCTCCAATTTGCGAGCCGTGTCTGACTGCCTACATGGCATTTCGGTGTTTTGTCTGCTCTGTCACGGACTTGTGAATGGAGACAGGGAGAAGGGAACGGCAGGTCACCTTGGCTAGGACTGCGGGGTGCTAATGCTCTGTTTATTTTGTCCCAACATTCAGCAGCCTGGGATCCTTTCAGTATCCATTATCTCATTTTTGCACATCAAAGATGAGCTAAAATCCAAAACGTGGTTCACAGCTACCCCGCGTTCACCTGCCACCAAATACTTCTGTTCACTTTCCAATCCAAAAGGAGCAAACAGAAGTATTTTTATTTTTTTCCCTTTTCTGAAACAGACGTAAACTCGCTCCCGTTTCCAGTGTCAGGTAAAAAATAACCGCGAGAAGTGTGAAATATGAAGTGTGAAGGTACGGCAGCACGGAGCGAGATGGAGAGTGTAGTCCAGATGGAGCCGAACCAATTACTGCTGATAGGAATCTGCTTGTGAAGCCAATTCACTACGATCCCATTAAAGGTCCTCGAAAAAACTGTATCCGACTTTCAGATCTTCTGTGACAACGTTGTTCAACTTTAACAAAGTTAACCTCATATTCCGTCAACCAGGGTGTATGTTTTCTTTTGAAATACACGAATCATTATTATTAAAGTGGACATGTTTTTGCTTCCGTTTGTAGATTTGTCTGTTAACAAAAAATCGTATGGGATTTGAATGAAACTTGCAGAAAGTAATTAAAGGGGCAATATCATGTAAAATCAACTTTTTTGAGTTTTATATCATGTTATAATGTTATACCCTCATAAAAACATGCCCAAAGCCTTGCTTTGACTCATTCATGCATGTTTGAGAAATCCTGCAGTGTTTTTAGGAAGCCATGCTGAGGAGCAAAACAACAGGCGGGGGCCAGAAACTCCTCTGGGACATGTCTTTAAGCTGAACTTCCTCATGGCAGAGCGCACCCCTTCCTCCTCCCCACTCACCCCGCCCATGACTCCTGCA